TAAAGAAGCATTCATAAATTGTCATTTTTAGTCAACTATTTAGTGCATCTTATTTTTTCTGACTTGTGTCTAGATTGTAATCTAGTATTACATGCATATCTCTCCCACAAACCACAATGCCTTCTGATTTATTAGCAGTTGTTCTAAATAAGAATTTTAAGAAATGTTTATCACTGTCTGGTGAGGCACATAGATTTACCAGTGTTACTTTTTCCATGTAGTAGTTTTCCCTTAACGATAACGTATCTGCCTTCTTTGTCACTGATTACCTTGAGGCAGTCAAAAATGACAGAATGCTGTAGTGTTGCTACTCCCCTCTTGTGGCTCTTCCTATATGTACTATAGAATGTGTTTCTAAAGGCGCTTTTTTGCAGCTTCTCATGTTCCCCTTTAGCTAAATGAGTCTCCTGGATGAATATGATATGAGCTTTAAGCTTTTTAAGAATTACTTTGGTTCTTTTTATTGGGTTATTCATCTCATTAACATTCAGTGACACCAGTCTTATAGCATTCATCTGATTCCATTGAACATTTTTAACTCATTCTGTTTCCCTGACAACCACTAACAATAACATAGGTCATGGAAACCTCAGGCAACTCAGAAAAGAGTAGAATGACTTCCAAAGGTTGGTGCTTCTCCTGCACTGTTTTCATGAGTCAAGGGGCCTTTTCTAGCAGCAAGACGTTATCTTATTAGCCCCGAACTCTCACACATTCTAGCAATGCTCAGCTCAACCCATCTTAAAAAAAAAACTTGAACTGACAGAGAACACCATCCTAATTAGCTAGCATTGCATTTAACTGAGCAGATTAAAATATGCTAATTAAACATGCAGAATTGTAATCACTTTGTTTCTGTGTTTAACGTTTATAGCTTACCTAGCCTTTTTAGCCAGTCAGCATATGCAAAGCAAATCCATTATTTTCTTTGAAATTCTTGTAACTTTTGCAGAGTTGCATTTATCGGTCAACAGATTTTCTGGCTTGGTGCCACAGCAGTGCATGCTTGAGCCGCTCCTACATCCCTACCATGGCAGTGTTATTGCCAGCTGTCTTGACTTTGAACCCTTTCTTCCTCAAGTCCTGTGCTGCCTCTTGTGCGTTCTCCTACATTCACAAGCTGGAGTCCCAGTGAATTCTTATCTTGGTCTTTAGTATCTTGGTCATTTTTAGTGTCTGAAAGCGATCACCTGTTTCTTTCAAGACATTCTTTATTCTGATGGATTTTTTACGTTCTCAGTTATTTTTTATGGCATAGTCATGATCTAAAGAGAGTGCCTGTCCCTGGTACTCTGCCAGACTTTCTTTCCTTTAGGCTGAAGATGCAAATATTATTGCTTCTGCCCTCCTAGTTAGTTTGTCAGCTTGTCTTGTTGGCTCCAGTGCTGTTTCTGTGTTTGACGAAGAGTGTCCCTGACCTCCATGTTCCACATTTCAATTTCACCTGTTCTTTGCTCCATTTCCTCAATTCATATAGCTTGAGATGCTAGCTCTTTGGCCGTCTCTGTGAGTCTCTGATTGACACCTCTTTTGAAATGTTAAAGATCTTCTTCCATTTCTTTTGAAAAGATTCTGTTTTAAAGTCGTGAATTTCTTTGACAACATCTTTCAGACCTGAGCAAAGCACAGCAGCCATTTCCATGTGCTCTACCTCAGTACAGCTATCATTTGCCTCCGATGTGTTTCCTTTATCCTGTTTTTAGTCGCTTCAAGCTGTTTTTCAGAATTCTTGGTCTTTCTCTGTCTTTTTGTTCTCCCCCTGTTCAATTACAGATTGCAAGTATTTTTTTAATGAAATGTGAATTTGGGTAGTCTTTTTTTCATTGGTGAGTGGAAGCTGTCCGTTTATGTTGCCATCATTGACTAGGTCCAAACAGAAGTCCCCAAAACCAAATAATTTTAGTAAAAAAAAAAAATATGTTTCTTAGTACTACAGGTATACTTATTACAGTGTCTTGAGAGTAGGTTTTACCTAAATAACAATTTGACAGTTTCCTATTCCAAACGATTAAAACCACATATTGAAAATATTTGTCTGTACAATCCCTGGATTACTAAAGCTGCTTATTGGAGGTTACACTCACCACAAGTTCAAAATAAAAGAGTTCAAAATCGAACTGGGATTTTAAAGTATGGCACCATTTCGAATTCAGTTCATCCTACTTGCTGAAAATGATTGTTTCAAAATAATTACTTTTGATGTAGTATCTAGAAATGGTATTTTAGACAAATCTAAAAAGAATATTTTGATTTTGGCTTGATGAACCACAAACAGAGGGAAAAAAACTTCATGGTCATACTTAGATAACTTGCTAAATTAGCCACCCCATGTTTGCTCATTTCATATTTTTTGATGCTTTATCGTCATTGTCTCTTTCCTGACGCTGATTACACTCTTTCTCCTCATCTTGATTAAAGGATATAAACATTGGATTGACTGCTCAACTGGCAATAATATTGCCTCAGTGTGAAGTTACTAGCTAACTACGAAACTTAGTATCTGTCAGTTAATGCAGATAAGAGATTAGAGATCTAGATTAGATTAGAAATCTGACTGATCTCTGAAAACATCTTGTCTATGATATCTAAAAAATCTAACTTTTTAGCCTACATAAAATTGCTAAGATTGTAAGTCTGAATTATTTTTTTTTCTGACAAAGCACAAAAGAGAGAGTCAGGAGTGATGAATAATAAAGTTGTAGACTATATAGTCAGTTCCTAAATGCAGTAATACTCCTACATTCTATTACAAATGTAGAGAATGTTGTGTTCTGCACCATCATTCATTGCAGCCCTGTAGAGTGGTAAATATGTTTACATAACTTTTATTAAATAAAATGCTTTTATGAAATAAAAATTAAATGTTATTTTAAATATAACTAATACGAATAATAATAACAATAATAATAATAATAGCAGTATACACGAATTTAAGTACAAAATAACTGTAATTATTAATTTGGACATTCAGAATAAAAATAATGTACCTCTCAGGAATGAAATTTTGTCAAATGTAAAGTACTATGCTAAAGTCAAAGACCTATTATACAGGGTGATTCAAAAAGATTCATCCGATTTCAAAATGATTTATTTCACTTGTGAATCATTACAGAATAATGCAGTAAATTGTAAATGGTTTAGGTGAACATAAAGTTTATTATGTAATTCTACAAGTGCTCAGTATGACCTCCTCCAGCTGTACGGACAACATCAACGTGATGGTCAAATTCAACCCATACTCGATTGAGCATGGCGGGTGTCACTGTACTCACGACTCTGTCAATGCGATTTCGGAGATCATCTAGTGTTGTGGAACTGACAACGAATGCTCTGAGCTGTTGGAGGTTCACTGCTGACGAATATCACGTTGCGCAATTTATGACAGATTCACCCTTATTCAAGTGGAGAATGCAAAACGCTTGCTTCTAAGGGGTTGCCATCTCCTCACAGACTGAAGGGAGCCATCTTCCGGTGACAGTCAGGTGAAAGTCTATGACCCCCTCCTTCAGTTGGTATATAATTGGTTCCTAGGCGCCTCACGGTTGTAAAAATATGGCACTTCGAAATCGAATGAATCTTTTTGAATCACCCTGGATTACACAGAAGCCTGAACAACTAAATATATTATCATTTTTCAGGTATTTAGAATGTCCATCATTTGCTTTTTTTTACAGCTTACATCCTTTTCAGGAGGCTTTTAAAGCCCTTTTCAAAGTTGAGATTTCGTCCAGTTTCAGTGTTTTTGTGCAAATTTTGTTCTTTTCTGTCCATTTCCTTTTCTGAGCAATAGCTTTAAAGGTGAAAGCTTTAAGTATTATTTCTCTGATGGTGACAGTTGTGTGTGATAGTCTACCAGATCTTGCACAGTTTTTAAAAGTCCCATTTTCTCTATCTGCTTCTATCTGTGTATGTTTGTCTGTTTATCTGTCTGTTTACAGCATATGGCCAAAAATATGAGGAAAACTATACATTGCACCCATATGAGCTTGTTACATATCCCATTCCAAAACCATAGGCATTAATGTAGAGTTGCACCTGCCTCCTTTGCGGCTATAACAACCTCCTCTCTTCTGGGAATGTGTGTGTATGTATGTGTGTGTGTATGTATGTGTATATGTACGTATATTAGGGGTGGGAATCTCAAGGCATCTTATGATTCGATACCGATTCAGAGGGCTGCGTTGCGATTATAAAACGATTATCGATGCATCATGGTGCTTTTTTTCTATACAGGATTATGAGGACTTTCAAAGCGAAGTATTTGTAATGATCCATAATGAATTTACTTCTAATCTTTTATTAATAAAACAAACTTATTCGCATTTATAAGCACTGTAGTTGGTTTCCTGCTACATTAAATCTGCAACGAGATTAACATTTGGGTTGTTGACTCCTGACCTAACCTAGCTTTTAATGCAGAGGGTGCCGGTCGGATTTCTCGCTCATCCATGTGTCTTTGTTATGTGCACGTCATAGACTGTCAGGGCGCTGCACTTCCGCACTTCCAAGTTCCGCCTTTTGCGTTCTGTCAACATTACATTATAAATTAAAATTTAGAAAATTGATTTTTGACATTTGTGAATAGATTCAGAATCGTTCACGTCCACATCGCGATGCATGTGTAAATCGATTTTTCCCCCCACCCCTAATGTATATATGTGTATATATGTATTTATGTATGTATGTATATGTGTGTGTGTGTGTGTGTGTATATATATATATATGTATTTATGTATGTATATATATATATATATATATATATATATATATATATGTGTGCATATATACACATACATATATGTGTATATAAATATATATATTTATGTATATTACTTATTATATTATTGGATGCTTTATGTTTTGGTGTAATTTATGTTTTGTGCCTTTTTTATGATACTGTAAAATGAATAACGTGTACTTAATAAAAGTTGGAATTAAGGGTGGCTTAGCAAAGGGCCAAATAGTACTGATTTTGTATCTCTGTATGTGTTTGAGAGTAGCAGGCAGAGCAGCTTGGCAGAGAGGACCAGAAGAGGCTCCAGAGAAACAGAAAACTAGTGCTCTTGGTGGATCTGGACCAGACTCTGATTCATACCACAGACCAACATTGCCAGCGCATGTCCAATAAGGTAAGATTGTGAGACTAGAGAAACTAAGGACAGGCAGCATTTTAGATTGAGGTTCTTGTAAGCTTGGCTCCATCATTGAAATTTATGTTCCAGAATTAACGCTTCATGCAGGCGCCACTCCATAAACAGTGCTGCAGCTTTGTACTAGAACCAGATTTATCAGTAGCCAGCACATTTTAACCGACACATGTTGATTAATACTCAGAACTGTTTAGCCAGTTGCAGTGAGGGCTTCAAAGATTTTCTATTCTTTTTTTTTTTATTATTTATTTAATTAATTCCTTGTTGCCTACTACATGTGTATGTGAACGTTTATTTTTTTGTGTTTAAATATCTGTGCATTTTTATTTATATTTCAGTGTGTCTCTCGAAAATAGACACACTGGCTTTAGTAGAGAATGAGCGATGTGAAATTCTCAATAAAATCACTGAATTTGTCATAGTTTGCATTATGGTATAATGCAAAAGTTCCTAATCCAGTTGTCAGAACTTGTGATGCCCAATTTTTTTTTCTGGGGCTCCCTGATGACAAGGCTTCGAATCTGTGCCTTGCTGTGTTAAACATGCCTTTCAAAATTTATGAATTTAAAACGTTAGCCAGTTTGATGCTGAATAAACAACCTGAGTGTTTTTTTAAAGGTTTAAACATGCATTTTGGTTTTAATAACTATAGTCACTAGGGCCTGAAAAGTTTTGCTTACCAGTAGGCCTGAGCCGACGATAGTATCATGAAATGCTATTAGTTTCCAACTCAATTGCCAATCACGTTGGACGATTTAAATGTTAGAAAATACTTTGTCTACGGCTCTATTATGGATAAAAGGAGTCATAATTGTTTATGATCTGTTTTTTAAATGTGTAGTCCATGTTGTAAATCTAAATCTCTTCCCTACTGTGGGTTGTTCTTAATGGCCTTTTTGGTTAAATTAAAAGTTAAAAAAAGCCATGTTGTTTGTATTTTGTAGCAGTACAAGGCAGCACTTTTAGGGGTCCAGGCACCGTATGAGCATGGAACCCTATTGCTTTTTCTAGGATTTTTCTTGTTCTTGTTCTTATTCTTTTTCATCCCTAAACTGATTGGGGAACAGATACTGTAAGTCATCCAAACACCAGAATGGGAGGGTAAGTGAAGTGACCCCAGTTGGCCTGATGTGGTGGTGTAGAGCAACGTTGTACATTGTGGCCCATATCTCCTGAACCGTGAGGCCTACAATCAAAATTCTTTCTTCTACCTAATCCTTGGTTTATTCCACATAAACACCTGACTGGGACAAATATGTGATAATTGGCAAAATATGTGACACTGACATTTTTCTACTAGTCAGAGATTTTTCAAGATATCCCACAAAATTTCTCTCAAAATGTTTAACAGTATGGCCGCCGTGTGCCAATTAAGCTCTTCTGTATTGAGCTTAATTCACATAAATAGATACAGATCGGGATTGCTTTGACCAATTTTAATGGAAGTTAAAAGTCTTGTACCCTACACGATTTTAAGGAGGCATAACAAGTTCGACACCAATTTGTCAGTAGAGGGCATTATAAAATCCAAAAAACTGTTTCTCAGCGACTGCTTGTCTGATTGAACTGAAACTTTGCATGCTGCATCTTTGGGCTACTTTATAAGCGATATGTTAATAACAACTCAGTCTTTAGACAAACATGGCTGCCATTGGCCAGGGCGGTTTTAACAGGCATTTGGATGGCTTAGCATTGACCGATCATCATAAAATTTTAATGATCTGTCCACATATATGGGAGACCAATCCGGCCAAAAAAGAAATTAAAATTAAAACACTAAAATGTAAATGTACAATATAATTTGCCATTTCTTTTTCCAAACATCTGCGCAAATATCCTGCCAAAATTGAAAATAAAATGAAATACCTACATTAGCAATTTCATTTTTCACATAAGCACGAGTAATTTGTGACAAAAATAAAAATACATTTAAAACTGCTATTTGTCATTTCATTTTAGTTGTTATTCTGGTATTTATAAAAATGTATAAATTATAAAATTAAAAAGCTAATAGAGAAAAGATACAAGCTACTCTTTGGCTTTGCCTTTTATTCATAAAATGCAGAATACATGTCAAAACTAAAATCAAAATGTAATGTTTACCTTCTTACTTCTTTTTAATAGCAATAAGCTGCATATCGGACAAAATGAAAATGCAAAAGTGATAAATCAACAGGAAAGTGAACGTTTGGAGTGTCAAAATGAAAAGGCAAATGCAACAAACATCGAAGCCACCTGCTGGAGATTTACTTTTCCCTTTTCATTTCATTTCATTTGCTTTTTCGTTTGACCAACATGCAAATATATGTTAATTCGCACTAGGCGGGGCTACGGGGTACATTTTAGGACATCCTCAGACCTCAGAGTCAGAACGGCATCATTCCTCAGACTAAACCACTTCAAGTCTCGAGTAAAAATTGTCATGTCTCTGGTGTATCTGGTGAAACTGAACAAACAGAGAAAAATTTTAAAATGTTAAACTGGCACTTATATTAAGAATACACAATAGTTTTCTAAGTTATACGAACCGGTATATGCTCGACTATGCTTGCGTTTGGTCTGATACCTTTTATCTGAGACCGTTTGGGCTGACGGCGTTTGGTCTGATGTACAATTTCACCAGATCTGAGACCTGACGATGGTTTTTCCCGAGACTTGAAGTCATTTAGCTTGAGGAATAATGCCGTTCTGACTCTGAGGTCTGAGGATGTCCTAAAATGTACCCTGTAGCCCCACCTAGTGCTAGTTAACATATATTTGCATGTTGGTCAACTTGAAAACGAAAAAGCAAAGTGTGAAATGAAAAGTAAATCTCCAGCAGGTGGTGCCTCTGTTCGTTTGCATTTACCTTTTTATTCTGACACTTAATGCGCGTCCACACCGAAAACCGAATCACAAACTGTCTCTTTGCAGATGTTTGGAAAAAGAAATGGCAAAAAGAGGTTTGCATTTACATTTTATTGTTTCAATTTTAATTTCTTTTTTGGCCGGATTTGCCTCCCATACGCACAGGCACTCTCTAGATCTCTAATAGGCACTCTCCAATCAGCCATGAGGTGGAGCTATTCAACAAAAACTAGTCTTTTTTCATCTGGGATAAAACTAAATCACTTCACATCATGTGTTACAACTGAGACGGACATTTTTTCGAGTCAAGTCTTTTAAAAATTTTAAAGTTTGACAAATTAGCTTTTCAAGCTAGTCTGTGGATTTTAATCAAATCGTCTCAAATTTAGTCTTAAAACAATCTATAGAGTCTGGAGGTAAATAATTATTTTGAAAAATCATGCCTTTAATGCACGGAATGGCCAAAAGACATCAATCAAACTGTTTGGCTTGGCTTTTTCTGACATAAGGGGCTAAAAATCCATCAGTTTTTTTTCTGATTGTGACAAAAATTGGAAACAATGTACACAGTCATCTGAGGAAGCATGCAGCATTTTATTTAAATTGGTCTCCATAGTAAAGACACAATAATGGTTTCAAATACCACATCTCAGTAAGATCTAAAACTTTGCAAATAAGTGTTTGTTCCAAAATTGCACATGTGGCAATTTCACTTAAACCCACAGAATCAGGCGTGGCTATATTTTCTCTGATCATTAGAGGGAGCTTCAGCAGTAATTGCAAATTGTGAACTTCAAACTTACAAACCATTCTAAACTTTAAATCTTTGCACAGAAAGTTTCTGAATGTTTTATATTTCGGCCTGACAGTTTTGCAAACAAAAGTCTTTTAAAAACTTGTTTTTCAGTAAATCCGTTTTTTGGATTTTTTTTCATCAGTGAATTTTTTTTCATACTATTCTTTTTGCATACTCTCAACCAGTGAGGTATCAAATACAAGTCTGGTCTTAAAACAATCTGTGGAGTCTAACATCAAAAACATCATGACTTTTAAGCAGAGTGTGTAGGAAAGGACAACTTGAAGTGAATATGAAGCTCGTATCCTGAGAGCTTTATAGGAGATTAAAGCTCAACAATTACCAAAAACATATGATGTTAAGGCAGTCTGATTGTGCTTGGACCTCTATAACTGCTTTCAGCTGTATTTAGGGTGCAGAGTGGAAGTGGAGCGGCATGGTTTTTGCTCTGAACGCTTTTTGCTCCATCCCGTGAGCCAGACAGTCCTTTTTTCTGCACTGACTATCTCTGTGTGATATGAGTAATACAACACTGAGTTTATGGCTTGCACACAATGGCCATTCATGCACAGCATCTGCGCTGCAGAGCTGTTCAGCAGACCTACATACTGGAAATTCTCGGCAGTCACAAAAACGTTCTACACATAGTACATAGAGTTATTCTTGTGTTTTCCATTTTGCTGTGAGAATGATAAAGAAAGGTGTGTTAAAAGCATGTGTGTCTTGTCTGGTCCATTGCTTCAAAAGAAACCTTCCAAAGAAAGTCTGTGTAGAACAAAATGTTGAACTAGTTTTTTGTCTAATAATGGCCGTATATTATATAATTTGTAAAATATAATGTGTTGTGTTATGTGGTAAAATAAAACAAAAATAAGAATGGATCATATGGAGCTGACATGGAGTGGGTTTTTATCTGATGTGCGACTGAGAAGCAGGAAATCGAAAACTTGGAACAAGGAGTGAAAATGTCTACTGCTCCACTCCACTTGCATGCTCTGTCAGGGTCCAGTCGCACATTAGGTAGGACCCTATCGGAATTGTATGTGTTTTTATTATTCTGATTCTAAACGACCAGGCCAAACCAAAGTCAGTGAATGGCCGGTGTAGCTTCAGGTTTTCTAACCAGTCAAGCAGCAGCACAACTGATTCCACTTGTCCGGTCAGTTGGTCTATGTCTTCAAACAGTTGCTTAGTTATGTGAGGTGGTTGCACTGAAAACCTGCAGCCACACCGGCCCTTAGTGGATGAGATTTGTGACCCTTGCCATAAGTCATAAAAACATGAAACTTGGTTAATAGATAGTAGTCCCTCCCACTGCTCAGGCAGATGACATGAGCCCAGTTGTCTTAAGGGGGATGCTATACCATAGCCGAAAGCATTTGGCCTTGTAACTCCTAAACCAGAATTTTTAGAGACAAAATACATTTTTTCCCTGATGCGTTAGCTCAAGATAAACTAATTTGCCGTTTAGACCATTAAGTCCCACCTACTTATTTTTTTCTAATTTGCATAATATTCACAAAAGCAGGTTTTGTATTAGTCCTAAGCTTTTCACTTGATCCTCTTCTAACTGACATGAAAAAACAATTCACAAGAACCGTAATAATTGGAATAATTTATAATTCTATAACTCGAGAATTATTCATTCAAAAAATTTTAAACTTCACAGGTTTATTCAGTAGCATATTCTAAGGTAGTCTGTCAATTTAGGTGCATGCAAATTGTTAAGGGGTGTTTTAACTGCTAAATAATTGTTTTCAAGCATCCGTATATCCGATCAAGGTGAAATTTTGCACGCAGCATCTGTGAGACAGATGACATGTGAGTTCCTAAGGATGACTTGATACATCAAAATGTATCAAGTCATTCTTAGCCAATTAGCTGTCAGCAGATATTTGAAAGGCTTAACATCGACCAGTCGTAATAAAGCTTGTGAATGATATGTCTACAGCAGGTTTTCTAACAAAAAATTAAGTTTAAAAAGATTTGGCCTCTGAGTGTGCTATTCATTAAAATCAAGTATATGTTATACATATTTTACTTAAGGTCAGATAACTGGTCTCAGATAATGCAGTACAATGTTCCAAACAACTTTGCAATAAGTTTTTTAAAAAAATGCAGTAATTTTGCAATTGTTAATTGTTTGAAAACTGGACTTCTCAAACTAGTCTCTAGGTTTTGATCCAAACTATTTCAAATTGGTCTTCAAATAATCTGTGGCCTGCTAAATCATAGATTTCTCATTGACATTATCACATCTGTGTGTGTTTGTGAACAAATGTTAATAGTTGTCTCTATGTTTTACTTCAGAGGTGTTCATGAAATAAACTTTTTAAAGGTTCATAGTTCCCTGTTAATCTGGATCGCAGAATAACACAATGTTAATCAAGGAAACATATATATATATATATATATATATATATATATATATATATATATATATATAACATTTAAACAATTAAAACGATTAATGTTAAAAAGTCTGTACGGTACCCTTCTCAAATATCCCAACCACTGTTCAACATGAGCAAAAACAGGGGCAGTAAAAACATTCTTTATTGCTTATCCTTTTGATCTTTTGTTCAAAATATTAACTAAAATAACCTTTAGTTGTACAATGTAAGTAAGTACAATGATTGCTGGAAAATACCTGAACTATGTCATTAAATAAATATTTTTTCTCAAATCTTTGGTATTTTTACTATTAGTCTATAGTCTATGTTATGATGTTAAAATTACATTGTAGGCTGTAGAAATAAAAAAATAAAGGAAAGGATAGTTTTATAATTGCATTCACTTGCACACTCTGCCCGGCAGCTGAGAAATTCAAAAACAGTAACCCAACTTAAATCAAGCTGAGAAAACACAATGGCAAAACATTCTTAATTTAAATAACCAACCATGTTGTTTATTTGGCAGTTAATAGTGCAAGCAGAATCCATAGCTAAAAGCATGAACAGGTTAACAAAATAACAGCTTCTTTGCAGCTGTTCCTGTATAATGCTTTTCCTATGACTTTTGTGATATCCAGGGAATCTTCCATTTCCAGTTGGGAAGAGGGGAGCCCATGCTTCATACACGTCTTAGACCACATTGCAAAGTGTTCTTGGAGAAGATTGCCAAGATGTATGAACTACATGTTTTTACCTTTGGGAGTCGCCTCTATGCACACACCATCGCAGGTAAGCAAATGACATGGCATGAAAGATACTATATTCCCTCAGAGGATGCTGTGTTGCTGAGTACTGAGTGCAGTTGCTGTGCATTTACTAGATATGCCAAATCCTTTCCATGTTGTCTTGCTCTTGGTTACAGCTTTTGGATTTTGGAAGGACGTATAAATCCATAACTATTTTGGTACAGAACTGTGTGGGAAGGGAACAATAAGTAAAATTTGTGATGTGATGCGTGTTGTCCTTTTTGAATCACAATATGATACATTTTTAGATTTTAATGCTAACATAACTTTTATACAACAATTATAACGTCTAGTCCCAACTTAGCAATTTTGACAAATGTGCAGGTTGTGCAGTCAGAGCTGAAGGAGTTCAAAGAAATGCTCAGTATGCTGATTGGAAGAAACAGGGTGAAAGGGGGCTAAAAAAAAGTATGCAGTGAAAAACAAATAGACGACATCTTGTAATTGTAGACGTGCAAAATGCAGCTATATGGTAGATGACGATGGAGCTGATGGACAAGGATTTTGCCAGTGCATACACACAGAAATTTAGTGTTAACTTGTATTAAGTGATTGTCCTATATAAACCCATCAGAGATGTCTATGCAATGTGTGTAGTTTTATTTTACTAAACCAATTAAGGCCCGATTCACACATATTGCGTGTGCGTCATTTCGGTGCCCGTGTTCACTGATCAGCGCTTTCACACAGGCTGTGCATGCCAAGTGGCAGAGCGTCCCAGATGCCGCACTGAAGCGGTGCGGTATTTAGAGAATCGACTTGGCACAGATATTTCTGGGCGTTACGCGCGTCATGCAGCAGAATACACAAAAATAAACCATGAAAATTAGTGAAAACTAAATAAAAAAACATATACAAACTTAAAAACGCTATTTATAATACATGACAACATATTAGTTAAACATTCCATGCTCCAAACAGTTTTCCCGGTTGGTCTACCAGGCTTGAACCTTTTGCCTAATAACTATGGAGAATGCTGTTGAGGACAAACAAATATACCATGTACTTTTATAAATTATATTTTTGTTAAGCACTGATGTGACCATTTATCCATCTGGAAAAAGGAATTTCTGTATAACTTTCTTGCTGTTCTGCTCTGTGGCACAAACTGTATATATGAAAGGCCAGTGCATTCGAGTTGTAGCGCTCACGCTGCTGCATCGCTCACGCCACGCAGAAGAAGTGTGAATAATTCTTTACAGCCTTATTCAGTAGAAGATTAGGTAGCCTGTCGATTTTTGTGCGCATTAGGGGGTGGAGTTGATGCTACATGGCTGTTTCTCAGCATCCGTACATCCGATCAAGCTGAAACTTTGCCATCTGTTAGCCAGACTATAAGTGAGTCTATAAGGAGAATTTGATACATTGAAATTTATGGTCGCCATCAGCCAATCAGCATTTAGCAGGCTTTTGACAGGCTTAACATTGACCAATCCTCATTAAACTTGAATGGTGTCTATAAGTAGCCACTTTCTAACAACCAGTGAAGTTTCTATTCCATTCATAAAATTAATAAATTATTACGTTATTAATATATTATTACCATTTTTGACCGAACCTCTGTATGAATCTAATGTAGTACAGTGTGCCAAACAATTTTGCAAATGCATGTTTATTACAAAAATGCATAGTTTTTTGTAATCGTCAACTGTTTGAAAACCGTACTTTTCTAACTAGTCTCTGGATTTTAATCCAAACTTTTCGAAATTGGCCTAGTAATTCTCTCCACCCTCTCTAGGTAAATAATTATCAAAAAAATATTGACTTTTCTACTCACTGGGGTGTTGATCAATCAATTAATTACTTCGGCCATGGCATTGCTAGCTTGATTTGCTATAACTCATCAGTCATTGGTCAGATCTCCAAACTTCAACTGTTTGTATGTATTCAGACTCTGATGGGGTCTGCCAAATTTGGTCCAGATTGGCCTTTAGGGGGCGCTTTAGCACTCAAAAACACTTAAAAATCAATAAAAATGCTATTACAATGTTATTACAAGTTCCACAGATAAGCAATTAGTGCCATGTGACTCAGTTTCCTCACATGAATAACTTTGTAATTACATGTTATGTCAGAAATTGGCCTTCTTGTCTGGTATTTTGGCTTATTCATTCAAAGACTACATTATACGAAGGCTTATTATACAATTATCCAATTATCTCCAAACTTGCAATAATTTTACAAATTAGGACTCTAATGGTCTTGCCCAATTTTGGTCCAGATTGACCTTTAGTGGGCACTTCAGCACTCAAAAAAACTAAAAAAAAAAAATCAATTAAAATGCTATTACAATGTTATTACAAGGTCGACAGATAAACAAATGGTCCCATGTGACTCAGTTCACTCTCATGAACAACTTTCTAATTACATGTTATATCAAAAATTGCACTGCTTGTCTTTTATTTTGGCTTATTCATTCAAAGATTTCACTATACAAAGATTTATTATACAAAGGCTTGAGGCCTTTTTAGGCCTAATATAATAAAAGGCTTGAGGCCTTTTTAGGCCTAATGGGCTAAACGAAAAGCTTGAGGCCTTTTTAGGCCTAATGGGCTAAACGAGAAGCTTGAGGCCTTTTTAGGCCTAATGGGCTAAACCTGCAGAAGGGCCCATGCTGCTGTTGCGTGCTTGAACCCGCTCATTGCCGCTTGCGGCTATATTTAGGGTTCAAGCATGCAATGCATTGAACTCTATCTTAATTGTCAAGATTTTTCTTCATATTCTTTTTCTTCCCTGAAACAGAATGCCCATACCATAAGTCCTAGAGACTTGAAACTTGGGGGCGCTGTAGCGCAGGTCAACAAGGGGGCGCTATAGCGCAGGTCAACGCGTTTGGGTCTATAACTCCTAATCCAGATTTTTGCCAGACAAGACATATTTTTTTCCTAGTTCCTTGGGTCCAAACAAACAAATTTGCCATTTGGACCCTTTAGCTCCGCCCACTTAGATTTTGAGCTAATTTGCATAAAATGTGAAACCTACTTTTGCGAACTAGTCCTGCAATTTTTGCCCAGTCCCCATGTAATTGGTGTCAAAAAATTCAAAAGAGCATGAAGGTCAATAATTATCAAAAACATTTTGGCTTTTCTAAACAACATGGCTGCCATATGCAAATGAACCCTTCTGGATAAATTCAAATTAATTCAGAATTAATTTAAAATTCTGTAACTCGACAACCCTTCAGCCAAAAAATTTCAAACTTGACAGACACATTTGGGAGAAGATTCTGAGGTAGCCATTCGATTTTTGTGCGCATATGTAATTATGGGGCAGAGTTAATGCTACATGGCTGTTTCTCAGCATCCATACATCCGATCAGGCTGAAACTTTGCAGATACCATCTGTTGGCCAGACTATAAGTGAATCCATAAGGACAATTTGATTAATTGAAGTACATGGCCGCCATTGGCCAATCAGCATTTAGCAGGCTTTTGACAGGCTTACCATTGACCAATCATCATGAAACTTGAATGATCTCTACATATAGCCACTTTCTAACAATCAATAAAGTTTGAAAAAAATTGACCACTGGGGGGCGCTATTCATAAAAATTAACATATTATTACATATTATTACTATTTTATTACAAGTTTGCTTGAACATCCTTGTGTATCATATGTAGTACGTTATCCTAAACAATTTTGCAAATACACATTTATTACAAAACTGCATAGTTTTTTTGTAATCGGTAACTGTTTAAAAAGCCTACTTTTCGAAATAGTCCCTGGATTTTGATCCAATCTTTTCGCACTTGGTCTGAAAAAATTCTTTGGCATGTGTAGGTAAGTAATTATCAAAAACACCTTGACTTTATTGCAAAAAACGGCCACGAGACACCAATGAATTTTTTTGGCCCAACCTTTTCTGACTTCTATATGTAGAGATTCTTTAGTTTTTATGTGATTGTGACAATTCTTGATAAACATGTACATTACTATTTTCTGAGGAAACATGCAAAGTTTCATTTAAATTGATTGTCATAAGTCCCTACAATACATAATCTAGTGCGTAATTATTAAAATGTCATCATTTTCTTCTATGATTGAAATAAAGAAAAGATAATGGTTTCAAATTACACATCTTATTAACATCTAAAACGTTGCAATTATATGTATGTTCCAAAATTACACAGGAAATGTAGAAATTTGACTTAAACCCAGGTTGGCCACAAAATCAATAACGGTAATATCTTTTCTGCCCAGCAGAGGGAGCATCAGCAGTAAATGCAAATTATGACTTCGAACATATGACATTTGGCTTGATTCTGCTCATGTTAGCTCTTACAATGTTGAATTTACTGCCAAAAATCTAAAATGTAATTATTCCTGTCTAAGGATAAAAACAATGAAAACATGACAGTTGTTTCAAATTATGCATCTTAATGAGAATTGTCACTTTGCAAATATGTGTAGGTTGTACTGTACAGGAAATCCTATAATTTTATTTTAGCAAATTTTGTTCAGAGCAACAATTTTTCTCTGGCCACGAGAGGGAGCCAAAAATCATTGTTGACATATACATGGAAAGCTTTACTGTATGTCTTTAGGTGAAGAGTATTTCTGAATGTTATGTTTTCCACTAAGCCTAACAATTTTGCATAAGCAAGTCTAAAAAAAATTCAATAATTGCACAGTTGAAAAAAGATGGAGAATAGACATTTCTTACTAATTCTTGAGTTTAAATCAAATTTCATTTTTCTTAAAACAATCTTATTGAAAATATCATGACTTTTAAGCACAGTTTGGCTGAAGATTTGACTAAATTGGTGTGAATTGGCTTATTCTGCTATAAAAGGCTGAAAGTACATCAATAATTGTCTGATAATACCCAAATTTGACACAAATATACAAAATGACAAACTGACAGTGTGTTATGGTTTCATTTGGAATTATACTACTCAATAGTCACAGTAATTGCAGGGTGGGAACTAATTCCCAAAATGGTGCTTGGTTCCTTATTGCTCCATACCAATAAATTGTCTCA